TAACCTTTGAAATAGAATCGACAGCAATCTCGTTAAAGCCAAATAAATTATCATTATCTCTCAGTAAGTTATAATATTGAATAAGTTCAAGGTTAACATTGTTTTCTATACCACAAAAATACGTGTTCAATTCTTCTAAGTCTACCACAGGATCGGATATATCTTTAGGCTCTTTACCCGCTCCCTGACTTTCCACTATCTTCCACAAACTTTTGCTAGTTGATTCAGAGTCAAATTTATTCACGAAATATCTATTTCTAGCATCCCTGATTTGACGTTTGATTCTATTTCTTAACACCCTGTATTCTTCCCAAATTATGCGATCCTTAGTTCTAATATAGCGTTTAGCGTTTATATCAACTGTCTCTTTCCTTCATCGCACTTTTAAGCTCTACAGTGTTCCAGGGACAAGGATTCTTATTTGTATATATTCGTCTTTCAGGAATAAAGTTATTATACAACAATCGCTTCTTATTGTCTACCTACCCTGAGAAAGGAATGTGTATGCAAACAACACTGAGGAGTATGCGATTGATATACCAATCTTTCAAACAATGATACGATTGACCGCGATGATTTTTTATATCTTTTTAAAGTAATGGATATCTACGACAGGGTGTTGCCGTATGAGATAAATAATTATACTCGACACTGATGTCTTTGGTAACGGATTATGTAAGTGAACCCTTATTTCTTCATGTTTTTACAGACGAATAGTTTAAGAATAAACAAATCATATTAGTTTAGAAAAAGTTCTTTTTAATTTTCGTATTGCAAACCAAAGTCTTCGGTTTTTGTCGGTGTATAACGACACAACAGAATCTAATAAATGACCAATTTATAACTTGTAGACAAAAATGTTTTCCAAAGGAGCTAACTCATACGAAGTTAAGTTGATTTGTCAGATTTAAACAAGTATGGGTGCATTATATAGACCTTGTATTCCATAGATGATTCGACCAATGAGCGTGTTGTTGCGGATAAATCAACAACTACTACGATATAACGTATTCACAAGGTGACGTCACCACCTAGCTACGTGGGTGGTCCAACTCGAAAACTAAATAGCACTATATTGCACCATCTATTTTGATTGTTATGGTGCACTTAACTCACTAAAGCTTGTGTGGCCTTGAAAAAGGCCGATTATTGGAGAAGAAGGGGGAAGGATGTGGTTTATTTCTTTTTCGTAAAGAACTTTACTAATTAAGCATATCTTCTTCTCCATATGTCGTTCCGAATTCCAAATCCTCAAAGACCTGGTCAAACAGACGGATTCTCATAAAATAACCCCTGCCACTAATAATTGCCTCGGCAATTAGGTACCAGAGTACCTCAATCCTCCTTTCCGTCGGTCTCATATACCTGGAAATCCTCCGATTCAAAAAGCCATGCTGGAACCAGCATGACTCGTATGTTGAATCAAATTCTTCCAGCATACTCAAATTCGACAAGTCGTCTTCCTCGGTAAATCTCAATTCAAAAGTGAACGACATTGCTGATGTTGTCTTGCTCAGTAACAGTTGCGGACTAAACAGTTTGGAAGTTTTGGGGGTTCACATTCGAGATCTGGTGGGGATGAAATGAGTGATGGAGAATGAATTGTTTATAGCAGGTGCTGTTAGCTATTTATCAGCTCTAGTCCCTACATATGTGTGTCAACAGATGCAGTCTATAAGTCACGTTTGACGAAGTGTGCGGGAAGTAAACAACCCAATATTGGTAAGAAACCTTGTACCATTGTTTTATTTTAGTTTTTATTTGAGCTGTAGTTGTACTGACGTTTTCCAGTAATGTAACTGCATTTTATGGAAATAACAATTCTTGATTCTTGATTCTTGAAAAGAGGGAGACCTGTGGTATATCCATATTTATGCGTGGTCTAGATGTCATCATTTAATCACATCTGATAGGAAGGTAACCATGAAAACAGATTACCGTTAATTACTCATTACCGAAAAAAAAAACATTATGGTGACATCAATACTGTTGGCCCGAAAGTAGTGATTTACCAAATAACCTCACTGTTAGTTCCAAAATAATAATTACGAGATGTTGGACCGTCGAATAGTGTGTACGGGAATCGAATAGTCCATTAAAACTATATATAATTATATCAATATTTCTGTTCCCAATTCAAGCATAGTTTAAGCAGCTCAAAATTTATAGTAAATAAAAAGCTGCCAATATGAATTAAAACATGTTTTCACTGTTATTTTCCCATAATTTCCTCAAAAGGTCGAGTAGTAGTAAAATAATTGTCATAAGCTTTCTTTTGAAGATTCGTGAGCTTCGATTCGTATACAGCAATGGTTATAGAATCTCACTTATCTTACTAATATTATAAATGTGAAAGTTTGTGTGTTTGTTTGTTTGAGGTTCAATCACGCATTATCTACTGGACGGATTGGGCTGAAATTTGGCATGATGATAGTTCACATTCCCGATTAACATATAGGCATATTCTTATCTCAAAAATCTTTTCAGCTCCGCCCCAGTGGCTCTGTAGTTCGTCATGTTATCCTTATGAGTATTCATATTTGAAGGAAATTAAAGAATTTAGTCACCTGTTTCAACTAAAAAGTTGATTCTATGATATGCAAAAGCATTAAAAGTTTATAAGATTTACAAACAGAGTGCAGCACTATATATTTTTTGCATTTATAAAAACAGCTAATTTGAACTAAGCAGCAAAAAAAAAAAAAACAAAAAAAAACTGTAATACACAATGAAAACTAACTGTCAAAGTAGGAAGTTATGTTTATGTTTTTAATTTAATGAATAATTTGTGATATCTTGCGAATTTTTTAATATTTATTTTTCTCTATTGTTTAGGTGAAGTGGTAGAACATTATGGCTATGGTAGATGTGTAATACTATAGAATACTGTAAATTTAAAGAAGCAAATTTTGTCAAACTGTGTCCTCCCTCATTGCAAACGCAAAGCTTGAGTTTAACTGCAATAAGCATTTTATACTTATATGCCAACCCCGTACGAAGGACGGGTACTCTGCTAGTTTCCTATAATTAATACAAAATCACACATAGTTCTATTGAATATTTTTGTAATCAACCAGCTGTTAGTTATAACAAATTATATTGCACTAAAACAAGCTAAATATTTTAAAGACTGCTAAAAAAAGTTAGAACATCTAGTATTTTACTATGTATATTTAAATAAACTCTCATCATCTTACCGAATAAATGAACGTATCGATGATTATAGCATTACACATAGTATAAATAAGTTAATTCTACGTATGTCCGTTCATTTTCAATCAAATACTGAATTTGTGTCGAAAACGCTGAATGTTTACAACTGTTAAGTTAAACAAATTGTATTATACCAAAAGATTGTCTAGAATGTTAGCGTCGGCTGCTAGACTTTTTGAAAATTAAAACTTGATGTACAAAACAAACTGAACCCCTAAACTAAAATTATGGTTTCAACATTTTCTAGTTAAAAAAAAATGATCTTTCTTTCAACACAAAAAATGATGAAAATCCGTAAAGTGGTTGATTTAGAATCGTGAAATAAAAAAAACCCTGTCACGTTTTAATACATGATAATACTTAAAAAAAAATAAGGACGGGGACTTACGCCATTTGTACTAATCGATAATTAATTATTACAGAACAAATTAAATTGAAAACAAAAATAACTTGAATCATTACATAGTTAGAAGTGATGTGTATATAGAAAATTATGTACATTGGCATTGTGAGTATGATTTAAATAATTGAGTTTAAAAAATAAACCCAATGATTTGAATCAAGTTAAATATACCGGTGCAGTAATAACCTTATAAATTATTCATAAGCCTTCTTACATATAGTACTTATTCGTTACTTATAAACACTAAATACGTGTAACGCATACTCATTGTATTATGTTTTAACTGAAAAATTATTAATTGTCAACCACGCATTTACAATACAATAAATGGTATTTGCAAATTATGCGTAAACATATTTATTGCTGATTATTAGAGATGTGTATGATATGATGCGCATCAAACAATGCTTAGGGAGTGTCAGACGGGGTTACTCCCCTCATACATGAAATATTATCTTAACAGGTGGTTACAGTCAACACCTGCGCTGGTGGTCCCTCCGACGTTGTATCTCCACTGTCTTCGTCATATCAACATATGTGGTCTGTAGTGGTTGACTAAATCCTCACTGTTAGTTCAAGAGTTGCTCAATAGGTAGCGTTGGGACGTCTCGGTTGGAGCTGATCCAAACGTATCTCACTATTCATTCATCCTTTAGCCAAGAAAGTATCACCACTGCTCGATCAACATGTCGGACCAGGAACCATTATTTACCGACCAGGAGTTAATTGATATTGCCAATACAATTGAGGCAGAATACCTCGAGAATCAGCTTCGAGGTATTAGCGAGCAGGAGCTAATTCATATCGCCAATGCGTTGGAAGCTGAAGATATGAATAAAAAATTTCAAGAGATGACAACTGAGGAGCTCAAGAACCAGCATGATGATGATTCGTGGGAGTTGAATTGTAAATGGTGTGCTCAACCGAGGTGCCCCGAGGAATGGGCACATCTAAATAAATTAATGGCAAAGCTGGTCACAGTGGAATGTCTGCTGCAACAACGGGCTGAAGCGGAAATTGTATTAAATGAAACCTAATTCCTTAGTTTTAAGATTATTTGTATACTATATAAGTTTAGATTTTTGTAAATAAATAATATAAAAAACAAAAAAAAAACAAACAAACAAACCAATAATTATAACTATTCCATACTATCTCAGCTTAGCTAAGACAGTGATGTAATAGTGTCTGCGATGAACCCTCTCTGTTGATTCCTACGCACTACTCCACGTGTCTAGACATCATAAATTATGTTAAAACATGTGGCGAGGTTGGCGAAGGGAGGGATTGTGGAAGCATCCCCTTTTATCCTCCGCCACTTACGCCATGTGTATTAAATGGTAATTACACATTGTCGAAAAAAAAAACAAATTGTAATTAATCATTACCACCTCGGAGGTGGAGGCGGAGGTGGAGGCGGAGGCGGAGGCGGAGGCGGAGGCGGAGGCGGAGGCAGAGGCGGAGGTTGAGGCGGAGGCGGAGGCATGTGTGAGGCAGAATAGATATTAATTACCTAAAAACACTGCAATTACTCATTACCTTAAAAAAAACTAATTGTAAATACTCATTAACAAAACAACTAATTGTAAATACTCATTAACAAAAAAACTAATTGTAAATACTCATTACCCATTAAAAAAAAACTAATTGTAAATACTCATTACCCATTAAAAAAACTAATTGTAAATACTCATTACCCATTAAAAAAAAACTCATTACCCCAAAAAAAAAAACTAATTGTAAATACTCATTACAAAAAAAAACTCATTACCCAAAAAAAAAACTAATTGTAAATACTCATTACAAAAAAAAAACTCATTACAAAAAACTCATTACAAAAAAAAATCATTACAAAAAAAAACTCATTACCAAAAAAAAAACTCATTACAAAAAAAAACTCATTACAAAAAAAAAACTAATTGTAATTACTCATTGTAATTACTAATTACCGGAGGGGAGGCATGTGTGAACTCGGCTATTACCTACTACTTTCGTCTTTGTAGCTAGTAAAATAGTAAACAAATATGGTTTAAAAATTAGAAGAGTTTAAAATGGATTTTACTAAGATGATAATGTTAAGCTTTGCTAAAATAATTCACTCTACTATTTGTTTACTTTTTTAAAGACCATGACTATGTTAGGCGAGAGGAATATAGATGTTTTATAGGTCGATTTTGAATCGGGGTTCATAAGCGGGCCTAGAAACCAATCTGAATTTGTATTCTTCGTACTTTTGGTTTTTTATTTTGTGTATTCACCTTATACTTGAATGAAAACATTGAATCATTGTAGAGAGATTGATGAAAGGTCATGTAAGTAACCAGAATATTACTCATGTTCCTTAAAATCTAACTTATTTGAGTTTAAATATATTTTAAATCCCATGAAAATAATACAACATGTTTTACTGTTAAAACAATCTTGATTGAATAGAACACCTTTCAATTTTTATTACATTTATTCCTGAAATATACATTACACATTTAACATTAATTTGTAAATTGTTTTCATCCATAAAAAAACGAAAACGTAAACATTCTACTGAAACATGGATAAAATCAATACAACTACAATAACTCATTCTACATTTTTATTTTTTTCTCATAATTAAAAAAAAAAAATACAAATGAACTACCACACCCATACTCAAAATAAAAACTATATAGACCAACCACCAATCAAATCTCACCATTTTTCGTGAATGTATGATATTTTTGATAAAATAATTTATAATACAAACGAGAGCTCGCCCCGTGGTCAAAAACTTGACCAAAAGTATGTATTGTGAAAACTTCTCTATATGTACCCCATGCTGTAAATAAAACATGCAATTAGAATTTCTTCCATAACCTTCTTTTGGTACAACGCACGTGTACATCGGCCCAGTAATATGATCAGGCTAGTAGTCATAAGTTTTACAAAAGCTTTTTAATAAATAAGATTCACTAGTAAATAGTAAACTTTTCAGGCACATGGGAAACATTTCATTTAACACAACCTGAATGTAAATCTGTCCAATAGATCTCCAGATCTCATTCCTATTAGACGTAAAATTTCACCCCATGTTAAATTGTCAACAGGTTATTTCTGTTTTTATTACATTTGGTCAAGTAATATATCTGAAATCGAAGCAAAATTGACAAATATAGAGACAATTACATTAGGTACCAACCGCGTGTAATTCAGTCCAGTAGTATGGTCAGGCTAGCTGTCAATTTTGTCCCAGGTTAAATCTCCAAAAGAAAAGTCTCCATAAGTATTTTTATAAAATATGTTCCTAGAGGTCGCCCCGTGGTTGAAAACCCAACCAAAAATATGTAATGTACAGACTTCTCTATTTTCCCCACACAATGTAAATAAAACATGTGATTGGAATATCTTCCATTTTTTTTTATTTTATGTTTATATTTTGTTGTTATTTCGTCATCACCGTGGCAACCTATAAGACCCATGTTATTTTTTTAAGATTTCAAATTCAGTTTTCATGCTTATTTGTGAGCCTAATTCAATTTATAAAGGGATTCTGCACATCTACAGGTAAATATCTTTAATTTGGTACCAACCACGTGTAATTCGGGCCAGTGGTATGGTCAGGCTATCTGTCATAAGTTTAGCAAAAGTTTTTTAGTAGGCCTATATAAGATTAATTAATCACCACACTATACTCAAAATAAAATAGAATGCACAAATCATATATAGAATCTTACAGTTTGTGGTAGACACGCATAAAAAACTACGTATAACAATTATCGAAACTAAACACAACCAGACGTGTTCGCATGACTGCTAAGTGCTTTTTTGGGGGCGTGTTGAGAGTTAGGCCCTAAGTGGCGAGTGGTGAGTGAGCACGCAGAATTAACTACAGGAGACCCGATCCTACCCTGTAATATAGTGTAGTATCGTTCTCGAGCATAACCTCTCCCAGTACGGCGCTAACAGATACCTTGCATGTGTTATTTTATAGCCTTGACTATGGATATGACTATAAATCTCAACACGTACATTGTATTCGCGTGAAGTTGTATTATTAAATCAAACATTATGTTTATCCTTTATGTCATACCAATGACTATAGTCGATAGAACTATACATTTTCTTGTAGCCAATTTTAGATCAAAGAAGTTAACGGTACTTTGTTAAATTGAGCTTCCAACAGATTATACTGATATAATACACCTATGATATAAACAATCCAAACTAAAATATCAGTTTGTCGTTATTATATTTTAACCCATAAAAACTATTATCTATATCTATAAAAGAGGAACTATGTATGTATGTATATTTATGTGTGTATATACGTCATGGACTCCGAAACCGCTCGACATATTGTAATGAAACTTTCACGCATTGTTAAGCATCTTTCAAGGATGGTTCGAGTGAAGTTTGGTGCAGATCCGTCAAAAGGGCTCTGCCTCAGAGGGTTTTAAGTGGGCCAATGTCAGACTTTTTGATCTACAATGTTTACAAATAAATATAATTTAATAGCAGATGTTTACTTTCACCATTGACTATACACAGAAATATTTCACTAACTGTTTTGTAGGTTTGAATAATCACAACATTCTGTATTAGCATTAGTCATGATTTGAAATAGTGCCACAGTGTTTCTACAGAGTGCAGCACATAAAACTATTTTACTTTTTAATCAGTCCAAATGTATTAAACCCCAATCGCAGCACACCTGTGCACTCAACAACGTTTAAATTCTCCAAAGTTAAATATTAAAACCATAAAAACCGTTATCATAGTATTATAAACAATAAAAGGGATGACAATGCCTTAATATTTTCATCTTTCGTTCTATACCCACACAATCTAACATAAATTATTAAGTGAATAATAATCGTGTGCTATCACGGGTATTCAAATGCCTCTCAATTTATCATTAACTCACCACATTACTGTCATTAAAAGAAAAAAACTCCAATAATACTAATGCAAAACTTTATTCCACCGAAGCTGTGCAACAATACCAAACTAACGAAATTACGTCAAAATTGATTAAAGCAAAAATTGTAAAGTGGTAGGTTTAAGGGAGAAATAGTCTTAAACCCAAGAATACTGATGATTTCATCCGAATTACCCTCTGATCTTAAGCAACTAAAATTTCCTTAGTGTCTTGCTTTCGCTATCACCATTATAAGGCAATAGGGCAATCCCTGACTATCGTCGGTTAACTCGGTTTAAATGTAGAAAAAACATGCTTTTCACACAGACAGATGTATTTCGTTAGCGCAGCAACGCGCGCCGGGTAACTGCTAGTTGAGCAATAAAATAAAAGGGAAAATTGAAAATGTATATATGTTTATCATATTTTTACGCAACGTTTGTTCTAAATGGACAGTTCGTTCTACGATCGGATAAGTACTGTGCACGATTACTAGAAAAAACCCGGTATGGATCATAAACATCAACAAATGACGTTTTTGGCCCGAAAATAAACATGATTTAACATTGGTTAAATGGAACTGCTAAAACATATGTTCAATGCTATTAGTATAGGATTCGGGCCAACAACGTCATTTTGTTTATGTTTATGATCCATACCGGGTTTTTTCTAGTAATCGTGGTACTGTGTAATCTCTAATAGCTACCAGCTTGTTCGTATCGATGGGATACCAATGATAATATAAAACCTTCCATTTAATCACTGTAAAACGGTAAATCGTTTATGTATGAAGGCGTCTTTCTACTCATTTCCTCTTGGGCTGTCAAGGTTGCCATGAGAAACTTTGAGAATATATAAATAGTTTATTGGTTTCGGTGGAAATATTTAAACATTTATAGGGTAACATTTTTATGATTACATTTTAAAATGAATTTTGTTTTACATTTTTACTTAAAATAGACGCCAGTCATACAGTTGGACCTTTACAGTTTTTAGATATGCTTTGGTTTACTATATAAATGAAGTATAAATGATTATACTATGCACAAGTTAATAATGAATGATAATTAATTATGATTGGATATTTAATAGTTTGTGACTATGTTAATAACTATAACCCTATAACTAAATAGACACGTATTTACACCAACTTTACAGTAGCTGAGACTTACAGTAGGCCTTATATGCCTGGCAATCAAACGGTTGCCAGTTCGATCATATGAAGAGTCAGAAGCTCTTTGATGTCCTTTTTCACTGGGCTTTCAATAAATGGTCTAGGTAAATAAACAACACTGAATTAATCAGTAACAAAGCTTCACAGATATACTCCCTCTACTCTACAGCATCATGCATTTATTATATAGCTTAAAATACGCATCTAGGTACTGATGCTGCCTTGATAGGAATGAAAAAATAGTATAGGCTATTTCGTACCTCGGGCCAAAAATGAGGTTTTGCCGGCTCGGTTCAAGACGAACTCGAGAACATGCAACGATCGAGACCACCACATTATAACATATTACCACTATTCACCACAGTAATAATGCACACTATAGTCAACACAACTACAACTTTAAGGTTATGTGAAGAAATAATTTTAGAAATCAGCAAAAATAATAATAAATAGTTGCTAGGCAACGGTAACAATAAAACAAGTCTATTGCAATGCTATGGATACTGATTGTGTTTTAAAGTTCATTCATGTTTTAAGAAAGTAAGCGGGCAGCTGATTTTGCAGCCCTAGGGATGTAAAAACCTGCTCGGTCCCCAAATGACGATGACAGCTGGCATGGCCAGCAAAACGTAACTTTCAGTCACCAATTAACGTATGTAAAACAGCTAAAACATCATAGTGTGATGAAAAATAATTTATGTCGCAATAATAATAATGTATAAATATTTACATAGCTTATTCCTCATATATGGGAAATTTGCTAAAGCTAATTGGGATTCTAGGCCGTAGAGACACCAATAGTCTGGCGATTCGTTCAGTAGAACCTGGTTCAATCCCGCTTAACACCAGAAACATGATAGAACTACAACAGGGGAAGGGGATGAACTTTCTCTTCCATGAACTCCTAAGCCATAGACTGGAGTTGTGTGATAGGTTGTTTTAACTGCAGGTATAGTTCATAACCGATAACACAATATACAACAGCAATAAATAAAGAACAGTCAGGTATTATCTGTTTTTACCCAGTATGGAAATATTTACTTTCAAAATACATTGTTATATCAATCGTGTTGTTAAATAAATGAACTGAACCAATCGGCAAACTGGGATATTTTTATATGACGATTTCCCTATTGTAAATCAAATTTAATAAACCAGGATAGGATATTTTCAGAAATATTCGTGATTTCAGTATATTATTATTATTTTCAAACAAAAAAATCAAAGTACATTGTTTAATATTTACATTCTTTTATTCATTTATGCTGAATGAGGAGTTTTAACCTAAATAGTGTAACGAATCATTTAAATTATTGTACTGTTTTTTACTTCTTCATCAATTTTATTGCATTTTATTGGATTCTATTCAAAGTCATTACATAGTTGGTAGAAATTTGGAATTTCTTCTAATCTATGTATTAATAGACAAAGATGTTGTTTCTTGAAAATCTTTTTTCTCACCTCGATCTCGTATGCACCGCAGGGAAGATCTACGTATACTTTTAGAAAGATACTTTCCTGAAGATGTGCAAAATCCCTATATAAATTAAAATAGGCTAAAAAATAAGCACGAATATGAATTTAAAATAAAAAAATTACATGGGCCTAATGGGTTGTATTAACGAATTATAAACAGAAAATAAAAACAAATGGAAGAAATTCCAATCACAAGTTTTCTACAGCGTGGAGTGAAAATAGAGAAGTCTGTTCATTACATATTTTTGGTCGCGTTTTTCAACCACTAGACGACCTCTAGTTATTATTATTAGACACTATGCCATAAACTGGTTCAAAAGGAGAACAAATTTCGCTACTGAGATGTAAGTGTTCAACCTGGGCCCTTTTGAAGCGCCACTGGGTTGCGATTTCTGTTTTATGAAAGGTAGAGAAGTAAATCTCTTTCGACACCTAGTAGCATCGGTCCTCCCGTCAGCAGTCTCCGCGGCGGTGTATATATGCCAACACGACTCTACCACTTTCCTGCGAGAACCAACCACCTCTCTATGTAACTGGTGATTAGTGGTGAGGTAGTACACAAATCTGGAGTAATTATCCATTGTTAATTAATCTTTATAATGATGTTAACATGCATTTAATAAGCATTTAAAGAAATAAAATATGTGTCAGGTTACATTGGGTTGTATAAACAAATCGGTGCATAGTAATAGGTGTTTTTCTCCTCCTAATTATTACTATTTTTAGTTACAGTGTCATCAACACAAGGCGTGGATTAGTTGAGAAGCATGAGGCATTAATCTATTAACTTAACACAATAAAACTCTTTTTTTGTACGAGCTTACAGGCTAGTAAGAAACTTTGGAAAAAAACCGGAAAAAATATTATTTAAAATCGACGAAGTTGAATTAAACCAACACTGAAAAATAAACAAACGAGAAAAAACTATTCCTTAAATGTATTACAAAACATTTTAAAAAATCTTGTCTTACTAATATTATAAATGTGAAACAAACGAGAAAAAACTATTCCTTAAATGTATTACGAAACATTTTTAAAAATATTGTCTTACTAATATTATAAATGTGAATGAATATGTTTATGTGTTTGGTTTGTTTATTTATTTGTTTGTTTGTTTGTTTGTATGTGTGTTTGTTTGTTTGAAGTTCAATCACGCATTAACTACTGGTCGGATTGAGCTGAAATTTGGTATGATGATAGCTTACATTTCCGATTAACATTTAGGCATACTCTTATCTCAAAGATACTTTCGGGCTCCACCCCAGTGGCTCTGGAGATTCCCATGTTAACCTCTTCTGTACTCATATTTAAAACGAATTAAATAATTTTACCAGCTCATTCAATTACACAAGTTGGTTCTATGATATTCAATGGCATTAAAAAGTTATCGGGTTTACCAATAGGGCGCAGAACTTTTATTTTTCCATTTATGACAACAGCTAATTTGAACCAAGTAAAAACAAAAAGCTGTCATACACAGTTGTAACTGACAAAATAGGATTGTTTACAGTTATGCTTATGTTTTTTGCTTTAATAATTTGTGATATTGTGCGAATATTTGATAATTTAATTTTTTCTGCTGTTTAGGAGCAGTGGTAGAAAACTATTATGGCTATGGTAGATGTGTTTATACTATAGCATAACGTTTATGAAAAGATCCAAATTTTCTCAAACCGTGTCCTCCCCTATTGCAAACGCAAAGCACGAGTATAACTGCAATAATAGTTGTATACTTATACGCCAACCCCGTACGAAGGACGGGTACTCTGCTAGTAACTAATGATGTGATCCAATATTAATCTACGTGGTGAACATTACAGAAAATATTCATCAATCCAGATTAATTAGAATTTCAAATCGTCCGGATTCATAAAAGTCCGGATTGAGTTATATAATCGTTGAAACACAGTGCTCTTATAGGGCCGTTTAGGTAGACTTTGTATAAAATAAAGCACATTTTTAAAAGCAATAGACTGTATAAGTTAATCTTATTTTTGTATATACAAACAGTACTTATATTACACACTGCAGTAGAATATATTAGAGTAAATTTGTACGTGTACAGCTGCGCAGTTTGCAACGGTGCATTACTAGTTTTAAATATGAAATGTTTATAAACTGCTGTCAAAAGGCTGTCCAGATTATGGGTAGTTAACATTAACAGAATATAAATTGATGAGGGTTTACTCTAGTTAATTAGTTAAACACTAATGAAATAAACTCATGAAAATTATCTTTTCGAAAAACTTTACTCAGATACATAAAACATATCAAACAACGTTTTATTCAAATGACTTCAATAAAAGAATATAAACTATTTCAAATTTACAAACTGGAGGGAATTAAAATACAATTAACAACTCATCAACAAATTGATAAAAACGCTCTAAAATAAGTCACGACAAACATCTTTGAATCAATAAAACTCCGAGCAACCTCATTCACCTGATTGAACACCGCGTTGACGATTGACGATAAAGCACCTAACTACTCAAAGTCGAGTTCTTTTCACCGTTTGGAACTTTGAAAAGACGCAAGGGCAAATAAGGTGGGCGGGGTACATCGATCTGGGACCGGCAAATGAGCAAGATTCCTAGCAAAAAGGCTGACGTGATAAAACCTTTAGAGTGAGAGAGATAATTGATTAGCATGTGTCGGGTGGGGGAGGGGGGAGGGGGTTGAAGAGGGGTGCGGCGCGCCGAGGCGTCGCAACATCAGTATGGAGCGCCGCGGTGGTTGAAGGCGGTAGCGTCGGGCGTTCCTCACTATTCAATAGAAACTATCAACTCGCGTACTAAGTGACGGTAAAATGTAACCAACTTGGCGAAATGTGTCGGAGTCGTTACTTGGTGGATGTGACAGCAATGGAATCTCTACTCAACTTAGTTTTGATGGGATTACTGGCCCTCTTGAATGGTAAATTGTGTGTTGAGTAGTTAGTGTGTGGTATTTTAACATTGGGTACAAATAGTTAAGATTATTGTCCAAATTCTGAATCAACTTTGGTATCAACAAAATCCTTATTTTGAAAGTAAAACTCAGAACAAACTATTCAGACAAACTTCTGGTACTGACACAACAATTAAAAATCACTCAATATAAAATTATTTTTAAAACTTTCTCAAACCTATGATTGTACAAACCATTATCATGATGATCATTATGATACTTAAATTCATTTTGATTTAAAAAAATGTTAGCATTGCTTCAAATATACGAATGTCAACGTTTGTATAGTGCCCTATATATTTTTCATAGACAACAGATTTTATTATTTTTTCTGGAACTGATATTTCGCTAAGTAACTAATCAACTTATTGTCTGCATAGAGTTTTGAAGGAAGTATTTACCAATTAGTTAGGCCCTCTTAATTTTAATTCAAATTATATATTTAGAACCTTCTCAAATATTTTAAGATAATATCCTCCTGCGAAAATAACCTCTATTAAATTAACGCTTTTAAATACAATTTTTAAAACTACTTCTCTTAATCTGCCATTTGTAACCTCCGCCACTCCTAAGGTATGAAAATTAATTGCATTAGTTCATGAGACAAGTTTAGTGCGACTTTATTAGTGAACGGATTACTTCCACTGGGTAATTTACTGGAAAGGAAACAATAATGGTAATTAATGAGGCAAGTTTGACGCCAAAGTTGAGAATATTTATCAACGTTAGGCCCGAACGTAGCATAACATTTTTAACAAAGTTTTTACGCTTATTTATAACTGGGAGAAAAAGAATCGTAACTACTAAGTTGGCAATATCCATTGCGAATCAAGAAATTTAATATTTAGATATTGCATAGTCATTATCTTTATTTAATAAACGCCATAGAGTGTATAAAACGTATATAGGACTAATTACCAACCATGTGTAAAACATCTGCAGCAAAGTGGCAGTTGTTCATTCTAAAAAATCTAGCTACAATAACGATTTAAAAAACACATTTTGTTCCGTTGTTACTTAAGTAATTGTTTTCTAATCGAATGTAGAGCTACTTCATATGAGTTTTGGGGTTAAAATATCCACCCGGGGTTACTTGTAAAGCAATCGTTAACTGCAAGTTTACAAAAAATTACATTGGTCAATGTATTAGAGGTTAAATGCTATGTATTTATCTAGTGAATGAACTGAATAGCTTTATGACGTTAGCCAGAATTTTAGTTCTTTAGTTATATGACTAATCCATATGCGAATTACGTGTGAAACCAGTGTTTGATACCCAAAGGAGCTGTTCCACCACTTGCTGTTATTTGAATGAAGATTGACATTAATTTTTACCATGATTGAATCACTATCCATTCTCATCGAGTACAATGAGGGATACGTCCTGGAATACGTTCAGGGATACGTTCAGGAATACGTCCTGGGATACGTTCAGGGATACGTCCAGGGATACGTCCCGGGATACGTTCAGGGATACGTCTTGGGATACGTTCAGGGATACGTCCAGGGATACGTTCAGGGATACGTTCAGGGATACGTCCAGGGATACGTCCTGGGATACGTCCTGGGATACGTCCTGGAATACGTCCTGGGACACGGTTCGCAAAAACGTATAATAATAATTGTTAGTAATTGGTACTTATTAAAATTTGGCATCATTTTCTTCAAAGATATAAGATATACCAGGTGATATCCGAAAATCTTCCTTTCAAATTGAAATATCGACTGGATAACCTTTTTTCTAAGTTTTGGCAGTAGGCCTACTGATCATCTTGATCATATGAGTTTGTAAATACAAATCTCCCTAAAACTCAGTACCTTTTGAATGCCCACAGCTTTCTTTTTTCTATCGTGAGCTGCGTAGGTTATAGGCAAGAAATCACAACTGTTTAATCTTTTCTTTGGGATTGCATTCAATAGAAAGTTCAATTAAGTATTAAACACTGTGTTAATAGTTATTAAATGTTAATCAAAGTAAATGTTTGAGTGAAAAAGTTGTTTATTACTCGGCCCAAAACCCAAATATTTGCCTAATTTTATAGACTAATAAAAACATGAAATTCAGTAATAAAAGCCTCAGCAAAGAATTCAATTTTGTTATGAAAGCATTAAGCAGGATTGGAAGATTGGAGCGGTAACAGAACAGTAATCTTCTAAGAGATGCGATTTGATTGTAAACCTTGCCTGTTTTATGGATTTAATCCATTTACTCCTAAATGGACCGTTAAGTAATACTTAAATAGTCCATTAGAATTGTGATCTGCCTATTACATCTGTAAAAGAAAAGTAATTTTTTTGTTGAAATTCGTTTTAACCACTTACACAAACAAAACGAAATTACCAATTAATTAATGTAGAAATGTGCATAATACTGTGTGGAAATCATTACATTACGGTTGCAGATGATTGTAACAGACATAAACATTCTATTCTTTGCATAATGTTTAGTGTGAAACTTTTATATAGGTACCCTTTTTGTTTTATACTAGCTGAGTACCCGTCCTTCGTACGGGGTTGACATATAAGTATAAAATGCTTATTGCAGTTATGGGAGAGGACATGGTTTTAGAAAATTTTGTTCTTTTAATTTATACGTATTCTATAGTGTAGCACATCTACCGTAGCTATAATACTTTACCACTGCACCTGAACCGTAGAAAAAAGTAAAGTTCTCATTGTGTACCACGGCTTTTTGTTGCTATTTGGTTCAAATTAGGTGTTGTCATAAATGAAAGAAATAATAGTGCTGCACCCTGTTGCTAAAACTTAAAACTTTTTAATGATATTTAATATCTTAGAACCAACTTGTGCGGTTGAAACAAATGACAAATTTCTTTAATTCCTTTTAAATATGAATACTCATAAGGTTAACATGGGGAACTCCAGAGCCACTGGGGCAGAGCCTGAAAGGATTTTTAAGGTAAGAATATGCCTATATGTTAATCGGGATTGTCAGCTATTATCATTCCAAATTTCATCCTTATCGCGTAGTATTTTTCGCGTTAATATGTTTGAACCAGCTGTGTGGAATTGTGAAATCAAAATTCATCTGACAGTTAGTTCTGCTGGTTTACATTTTTAATCTTTGTAGGTTTGTTCTTTGTTACCATGAATACCATCGATCAATATTTACTTTTAAATCTCTGACCTCAAATTTTTGAAAGCCCACGGGGCAGAGCCCTAGGTCAATATCGAAGCGGGAATAGTTCTATATGTATCCTGGGAGCTGTAGCTTCATTTGTGTGCAATTTGAGCCCAGTCGGTTAAGTAGTTTTTGAGATTATCTCATACAAACACACGCACACACAGACACACACGCAGACATCACCTCTTCTTTATAATAGTATAGATAAATTTACAATCTCTGTCTGAATCAATTTACAAAACAGTCTGAATCAATTTCTCCGATGTTCACTTAGACCTATATAAACACATCTGACGTATACAAATATTTTCACAATTCAAAGAGTCAATATCGATTTCAGGTTCAATCAAGAAACGTCAAATATTTTCGGAATACAATAAATCACAAGCCAGGCAAGGGATCAAAGGATACTGTGGCTAGATAGAATCATATCTCGGACGAATGAAATCCGGGGCGATTTTGGAATAGTGTAATTTAACACGATCCGGGCCTTATCCTGACTTATGCACGTTTGACTTTAATGGACATCTTTAAAATAATAAATTTGGGAACATGCCAACGTGTGTAATTAAAAGTGATTGAATAATTGTGATTTTGAAAATAAAATTAAAATGTGTATTTTACTTTATAATATTGTTTTTACAATTTTTTAAATGCTTTTTTTGACTGTGGAAATGTAAGCAAGAAACTGAGCCTGTTCCAAAATAAAAATGTAAAACTTACGAAGAAAATGTTACTCAGGCCCATGAATATAGTTGAGGAAAATTTCTTCGTTTAGAATGAACTTATGTTAACCAAAATAACTGCTGGTAAAATTAAATATTTTATTGATAGTGATTTTATTTTACGGGTATCTCAACATTGCATAGTTAGAATATTTAAATCGTATTCTTTTATTCTATGCTACAGAGCTTAATTCACAAAAGGAATAGTACAATATAAGTTTCTATGAAAAGGTTGTTTTATACAACGTTATGGAGTTTAATATGGTTTGAAATAACGTATTTCAGATTTTATAGCTGTATGCCTCCTGGATACAGAAGTTCAAATATTTTACTTAATTTATTCATTACTCAGTGAATAAAAAGTACCAATACTTATTTGTATATTTGGGATTGAATAACAAATTGCTTATACCTAAGGTAGCCTATATACATAAATAATACAAAATATTTTAAGTTCGACAGAAGATATCTACAGAGACAATAAAAAAATAATATTTATTTGTCACTTGATAGGATGGACATATACAGAGAATTGAAAAGATCAGTAAGGTATCAAAACAAATACTAGAATACGATCACGAATAAAAGGAACGATCTTAAAATCTTTATCAGGAAAGTTACAGTTTGAGCCAACTCCTCGGACAAATGAATTATTTTGAAGAGCATTGTTGTTGCTGTCAAATTTAAGTTTTTCACTCCTATTACAAGTGGTCATTATGGGACATGTTCTATTTCTAATAACTGAAACAGATTTGAAAAGTGTCGGGGTTTGGGATTTTACCCCATCTTTTAATGGGAAGAATTTTAAACTGTACCTATCAAGATTAGTAGGTACACAAACCGGGCATTGCAGGAACCCAATACCAAAGACGAAACATTGTTTAGTCAAATTAGAGGTACCGGTAACTAAGAAAAAAATCCAGAAAGTTTATCCATATATAAACCCCAAAGTACCCATGAACTTTTGAGAAAACTAACTACCATTCATAAACCATATGTACTTAAAATGTTCGTCATGACGAGAAACCTTGCTCAAAACTTTCCATTAAATCATAAATTTCTCTTTAGGGTAGTAATTCCTTTCAAAAGGAGACTTTCCATATACATAATGTTAGAAAATACCTCAGCTGTACTTATTTGATTGTTATTCTTTCAATTTATCATCTTATTAAAATCAGGTGATTATTTGTTTTGCATTACTGTATTCCGTTTTGTTTATTTCAGCTTAACTTAACCAATCAATAGTTTTATTAATTCTAATGCAGTTAAACGAGGTGAAGCCCGTGGGTAACAGCTAGTAATATATAAATTACATTTTCACTAAACACACGATCAAAACCACTCATGACTTGCAGTACAATACTTCCATGAGCAGTGATGACAAATGCATGCAACAATCCTTCAAACAACATCGATTTACAAAAACTAACCTATGTCGAAAGAAGTATTTGCGTTGTAGAAATAACATTACTGTACCATCTCACATGCAAACCCCCTTAGGAATTGAGCAATTTAACTTTGCTGCTAATCAGACAAACAAGATCTCAATCTCCTGCTTCCGTTCTCAACTCCTTTATAATGACTCTGATACATACAACTGTCAAGCAATATAATTACTAAACTTAGTTGAAAACCTGTCTACGAATTTTGATACAATAATTTGCTTTTGGAAAATTAATACTTATTGAAATAAATTACTTTGGTAACGAATAACCTGTGATAGTATGTTTAATATATATTTTATTTGCCGGAAACTTAGTGTATCAATACAATTTCATCGTTATTTTAGATAGACTACTATTACTTGGTTCTGGTCTTGGTCCAAAGGATTTGTCATTCATGAAAAGCTACAAATTTCATATAAAAGAAAATAAAGAAATTAACGCATCGTTTTGAAGACACAAGAAACATGTTTTATTTTAGCATTATCACCACTGAGGGAAATGACTCATCGAGGTGTATTTATTTTACCCAAAAGAGAAATGCAAGATGAGTGTATGATGGAGTTGAATGACTTGCATAGCTTTCTTATGAACTAGGATAAGCTGTTTTTTGGCTAGCACAATTTATTGATCATTTATTGATCATTACAATCCCGGTTATTAAGTGTTGTGGGTCCAGTATAAAACCTACAAAACCTATTGGTTCAGTGCTTTAAATACCCATAATTGAATCTGCAGACTTCTGCTTGCTATAGAGCATGCGCTGTAACACCTAGTCAACCCAGCCTGTGTTATATCATAGACTAAGGAGCATTAAAAGACTTTTAATTCTCCTCAGTCTTACGAGGAATTCCTGTCGGAGTTGTGTTATAATTCAGATTAGGTCTGGTTTCATAACCAATAAAATAACCTATCGGTGTATTGATCAATATAATTACTACCTATGATTTGTGAAGCAATTGTTAAAACATAACTAATTTAATAATACAATGTCCCAGTCAACATCTGGCTTTATCATAAAATAAAATCCATGGATCACAAAACAGGGAACTGCCAATAGGCCTAAACAAATACAGTTTCGCCTATTACTAATTCCAATCAAATCGGTTCCGTTGTTCAAAGAGTAAATAAATGAGAGAACGACAAACAATATAATTACCCGGTCTAGCGGCTTCACTCGCTTTGCACAGCACAATTATGCAGCAAATGGCCCGAGAATAGCCTGACAACAGCAAATGGCGTCCCTTAACTCGATTGCGCCTAGTTTCGTGTTCCCTGGCGCTTGTTTGTTTGTGTCTCTTGCGTGTAATCTACGGCCATTGTTGCTGTTAACATGTAATTGAATCACAAACGTTTTCAGTTTTCAAAATTGAATTGGTTAGTTTCGCATGCATCTCTGCAGATTGAGGTTGAACAATTGATCACATTTGAACGGTTCATAATTTGATTTTCGGTTAGCGAACTGCCATCTTTAAAAAGGAACTGATAAGCTAATAATAAAACGGTGAGTGTTTAGTGAAAAGAACCTCATTTAAATAGGAGCAATACCTTAAATAAAAGTCTAGAGGTTTCCACTAAATATTATTGTTTAATTTATCATATTTTTACAAGTAATTAACGATTAATTGTTTAGAGCAAAATAAAAATGAACCACTTTGGTTGAAAAGCCTAAACGAATCTCTCTTTGTTTATTTTTCTTTTCATAACAACCAAAATTCAATAAAACTATTTAAAACATCTGTCAGCTGATAAATCTGTCAGATCACTACAGGAGAAATACCTTAAATAAAAGTCTAGAGGTTTCCACTAAATATTATTGCTTAATTTATCATAATTTTACAAGTAATTAACGATTAATTGTTTAGAGCAAATAAAAATGAACCAATTTGGTTGAAAAGCCTAAAAGAATCTCTCTTTGTTTATTTTTCTTTTCATAGCAACAAAAATTCAATAAAACTATTTAAAACATGTCTGTCATATGATAAATATGTCAGCTCACTACAAGTGAATTCAGTTGGGTTGGCTTAGTGTGATATTTACGCCAATGGCATTTTTTTACCTTTTGAAAGAGAACGGTTCAAACTCTGGTCTTGTACGATTTCTAACTCCGAACTTTTTGTTAGATATCATCATTAATTCATAGCACAATTTGTTTCTGGAAACGAGTTCGCTTAGAATTGAACCAGCGACCTTCAGATTTGAAGGTTTGGTATTTCGGTAAATGTGCGGGCCGGCATTGGCGGTGGCGAGGCCACCAAAGGGGTTTTTAAAGGTCAGGTTTTAAGCTAATCCATGCATTTATATCTTAGCTATACTTTTTCTGGTAGGCGGTTTAAACGCGCCATTGAGCTGTATACACTCCTATATGAGAAAGTTGGTATGTTGTATACAAAGAGTATGTTGGTTGTGTCGCTAGCCTAGTGGTTAGCGTCTCGGACTTCGTTGCGGGAAAGACGGGTTAAATCCCCGGCACATCCACTAAACATTTATCTCTCGTAGCTCTCTCGTAAAATGCCACTGGCGTTGAAAGAAAAAAAGGATTCAGTTTTTTGAGGTGGACGATCAGACTGGGACGGTGGCGTCGTCCTGTAATCCAGCTACTATGAGGTCACGAATTGTGGATATTTATAGGGATGCACTGTGGATGCGATAGTCACAGGTGTGGATTAACGTCCGCACTAGCGAGTACTACGACTATCCGCAGTACTATCCTGATAATTAGACCAATTCATTAATACCAATGCAATTTGTTAATGTGGTTCGGATTTCACTATAAACTGTAGGTCCCTTAGTTGCCATTAGCTGTTTGGGCTATTAATTTGTGTCTAGGGAATATGTCGGCCTTAGTCACTAACAAGACTACAAGATGGTTCCACTCATCCTACACTCATCCTTCACTCATATTTGTGTTAAAATACGCACGTAGTGGCGTCTCCATCTTAAATAATTAATAATTGATCATCAGAAGTCTTATTTAATATGAATATCACTTTAGATATGGCATAAAATATTTCATAAAAATAAATCTTTTAAAAGCCTAACTATTTTATTGTTGTTAATCGATTGATAAGTGCACATACGGTACAATAAATAAGCTGGAATCAGGAAAATTGGAGATTAAAACAAAGGAAACAATTATAAGGGACTGTATCGTGATTATAAGCCAGAAACCTATACTGTGTACCTTTTCTACTTTATCCACTGATTGTGAAAATATGTTGACTTAGTTCAGTGAATTAATGAATCGAATTGTTTAATTTATCTTCCAATATCATGTGTTTACTCAGGGTGTTAAGAGTTTGCTTGCATTAATAACTGTTTGTGTAGTTCAACCGATCGTTGCATTCAATATTTTACTGTTTTTTTTTTTTTCACGAAATCTACAATATCAAAAGATTGTACGTTATTCTCAGTTTATATTTTTTAATTTTCAAAGCTGCAACCATCATAAAATTCTAAAATTGAGCATACAAAATAAAAATGTATTAGTTAACTTAATTATAAGATTCCAAAAGGTTATTTTTAGTGTCTAATGCGTATGTTACAACAATATATCCCAAACATTAATACACTCTCATAAATATTCGTATTCTGGCTTGAATTTTAAAAGCTCTCCTGACATAAAAAATCTTGAACATAAGATTTCCTTCATATGTTCAAAATAACTAAGTTGTAATGATAACATAAGTTCGCTACAGATTTAAAAGTCACAATCATTTAAAAAAACTATCCAAACAAAATTGGTTAATTAAAGTCAACTACATAATTAATTGTCAACTTGCTACAGTGATTTTACCTGAATAAAAACAAAGTGGTTCTTCCAATCACTTTCACCGACTCGAGGTTTAAATGCTTCGCTGGAAAATAATCTGGCTGTCAAAGTAATTGGTATTGGAAATTCAATTTGTCGAAACTGTCAAATAGGTTTTTAATGCTAATCTTTGGTTTGTCGGTTATTTTTGTTATGCATTTAGTCTTTTCTAACCCGTTGCATCTGTAAAAGCATACGAATTTCACAGAAAATGTTATTTAATTTGTACTAACACATTCAGTAACAACTCTGTTCCGTAAACTATTGAAATCATCCCTCAAAACATTTGCACCAAATCTCAGAACGTACTCCACTAGCAAAAAAAAAAAAAATATTTAGCCATACTAAACTATTTTGACAAACTTCCCACGCAAAGATTTAGTCCAGAAAACAGCTGTTTGCCACCAGATTAATTAAATGGGGTTTCATTACGTACTACTGTACTGTAATGAGTTTTACGGGACACCAAAACAGCTGATTATACTGTATATTTGGCAATGAGTGGTTATAAACAAAAGCATAACCTCTCTTAGAGGTTATGACTAGTGATTGCCAGTCCATTAGTCAGTAGTAATATATAAAGTAATATATATGTATATATGTAGTAATATATATGTACATATTTAGTAATATGGCGTAAAATACCGTACGTCACTCGTCCAAAATGTGTTTACCGGACTCGAATGGTAATCCCGTACTCTACTTCGTCTCGCACGGGAACGACCACACTCGTGCTGTAAACACCTATTTTCAGGACTAGTAACGTAATATACTATAATGTCCTTATTGTTATGCCAAACGCCCCATAATTTGTCATGTGATTTCTTAGGTGTAATCTTTAAATTTTTCTATAAAGGACCAAACATAAGCTCAATACTCTATGGAGTATGCAGCGTATATCAACAATGAACAAAGAAATTAAAAATACAGAGATGAAAATATTTATTCAGAGTTGAAAAAACTGGTGGATTTAATTTGCCTTAAAACCACAACTACACAACTATGTTCCGATACGGGCACTGTAGTTAATTAGTGGTGGCTTTCATAGTAAACGTTCGAATTCCATTTAATTTAATTCCTTTTGCGTCCCAAATTTTGTTTTACAAACTACATGGAACATGGGCAACTTTAGTTTTTATAATAGTACTTAACAGAATATGTGGGTCTCGAAATGTACTGTAAAAAACAGGTAGCTACACACACTTACCTTGCGAATTGTACAAGAAATCTCAATCGTACATATTGATTCTTGAAATAAAAATCTCTTGTATATTTTGCATTAAACTGTGTGACAGAATCAAAATTTTAACTCAGAGAAAAGGTAAACAAACTGTAAATTATAAAAATGTATCATCTTCAATATTATTTTACTTTTATGTTTTGTTAGTAAACAAATCTAACTCAAATTCATCCAAAACCCCTGACATGGGTACTTTTAAGACGGTACCAGGGCTAAAGCCCCGAAAGTCATCACGAAATTGATGGTGTATAAACCTACTCCATTAAATTTTACATGTATGTACCAAGTTTCGTGGCCATCAGTGTCTGAGTTTATCACTGCCAAATATACAACTATACAACCCAACATCCTATTTTATACTTATAGATGCATTTATGAATCAACATTATATTTTATAGTGTGTTTGATGGACGAAATGTTTGCTGTATTCATTAATAAATGATATTCTTCAATATTTATAAGCAGTCCAACTAAAATGTGTTTAAAAATACAAAATAAATCATTTCTCTGCATATTAATTCATAACAACGTCAAAGAATAAAAAAATTAGGGTTCGTGACTATTATGCGGCAACATTTGCTTTACAAAAATAGCCCTACATTCAATACACAATAAGGCTATAACACTATTTTAAACAATAGTTTAACCACCGCAAAGGATATAAATGAATTATTTAACATTTATATTACCTTTCATTACTGTGATTTGGTTTAAGACCAATGATTTCTATGAGGTTACTATATAGCTCTAGGTAACTTACTGACTGAGTCATACATTTTGGTAATAAATTCAACCACATTTTATCCTTTATAAATCATATTAATACTAAATAAGTTTAGGAAAAAAGTAACTTACTATTGTTGAAGTGAATTAACATTTCATTTAAGGAATAGCTGTTACCCACCGGCTTTGCCCGACATACTTTGAAGTATTATTATGAACCTACTGAAATTGTGACTTCACTACGGGCTAAAGTGACCTTTTACATTATTTTTTGTATAATAACAGTTATGAATGATTAAATCCATTACTATAGCCTAATTACATCAGTAATATTGGAGTACTTAAGTCAAACTAAGGGAGAACTTCATTTGAATAATTAACTGATTTTCAACCAAGAGCTTCGAACTGCTCTCTCTGAAACAAAATCATAATGTTTTTTTTTTACCAAAATACTATTTCCCATCTATCTCCTTTCACTTATGGTTATACCCTTGAACCAAATTCGTCAATAGCGCAGTATAATTTTATCATAACTTAATTGAATATTGTTAGATAGCCTATCTTAAAGTAGGATTAAGTACACTCATATTTGGGTTAAAATACGCAAGTAGTGGCGTTTCCATCTTAAATAATTGATATAATTTATAATTGAGAAAATATAACAAAAATAAAAACTTACGTGATGGATCTTAAGCAAAGAGTCCTGGTTTGAATATTAAACGATAATCTCCGATTGTATTACTGGGAAATAAAATTGTCTAAAACATAAATCAATATTCGGACCAGTTATTTATTTAAAACAGTGTTTAAATTAAATTCATATCACAGAGCGAAGGTGAATCAGTATGAATGCTTTACTCATTCCATGGAAGTTCCAACCATTATTTTGCACTAATATAATAATAATGATGGAAAAACTTACAGCAATGTAAATTAGTATGTATCCTGATTTAAAATAGTAGTTTTCATCGCTAGGAGTGAAAGTGTTCGTTTTTGGTAAAATAAAAAAAACACTTTCGCTCCGTGTGATGAACAACAATTATACTAAAGGCTGCCAATATTAATAGACAGAAAGAAATCAAATTTCCAATACAATATTGGGAATAGCTTTTAAAACTTGAAACCTTACGTAAGATCAACATCGCAAGTGATCTCAACGACAAAGTAATTGAGACGATATTACCTGATGTCGGGGTAGTGGAAATTGAATTATTCACAAAGGTACACCATTTTAGATTGGTTTAATTCGACACTGAAAAATAAAAGGCAGGCATTGTTAATATTTAATACATCAAAATCAAAACCAGGAAAAATTAAAATACTTGATGAGTTTAGTAACTAAGTAAACGTAAGTAATTTATTCTTTTTCCTGGGTTTAAAATATAAAAAAATTATTAATATTCACAATAAAATATAGTTTACTATCTGGGCAAAGGTTGTTTGATGAATTCCGTCTCAAGCTTGAGTCGTATTTTAAAAGGTCAAAAGAGAAGAAAAAATTGTTTGTCAACCGGAGCGGCTGCACTTAGAGAAAACATCAGCTATTTTGCAAATTACAGTTGTCACAGCACTTTGCTAACAAAAAGAATATAATACTTCTACATAAAGCTTTCTCTATATTTTTTATTTTATCATTAAACAATGGATTTTCTGACTTAATGTTTTTTTATACATACCTCTTATTTCGCTTTAAAGCCGGTCTAAAATTATTGTTTTGGCAGGGAAATTAATGAATGTTGAGCTTAAAATACGTCCACCTATATTTTTAATTGGAAATTATATGTTTTACGTTACGTTGATGAAAGGTTTTGCTTTTTTGTTGGTGGAAGAAAATATTAAATAATATTTACATTAATTTCATTAATTATTATTAATATTTCAATTAAATTAATGAATATTCATAATAAACTACTATTTTTTTTAATCGGATAACAATAAAGCATTTTAAATAATTACTGAATTATCTAAATAATTTGACACCTAATTTAGGCACCATAGTCTAAGAATATTCAAGGAAACAGACGACCGACTTTCATAGCAGTTTAGAAACTCAACCCCCAATTTAGGCATCCAAACTCTGGCTAGACGGACTGTGACTAAGCTTACATTATATTTTATAGTGTGTATGATGGACGAAATGTTTGCTGTATTCATTAATAAATTATATTATTCAATATTTACGAGGTGTTAGCCCGTCCTACGTACGGGAGAAGTCAGTTAAAACTTTGTATAATTCAGAATAGCTAGCTTACACGTATAAAGACAAATTTTATTGCAGCCTACAGTAGAAAAAGTAATTATCAATTGAGAAGTGTATAGGCCTAGTCAACGATATCACCTTCCAATTCCATCGTATACCTGCCTCTTCCATAATCAATGTCACCACAAAACAATTACTCACACTATATACAACAATTTCCAGTAGGTCTGAATAGAAACTCCCTAAAATAAAACGAAAACATCCAATAAAATTCACTGTACACATAATTATAATGTTGGTGTCCTGACATCATTAAACGAATCGTCCACACACATCCTTTTATATACACATTTCACTGCATCAATTGCTAAATAAATAAGTGTAAACAAAGAAAAGTGAAAAAAAACAACATATAGTTTGTTTTGTAAACAGCTGAGTCAAAAATAAAATAGTATTCATTTGAAAAAAATAACTGGTCACATGGTGAAGGAATTTAAAACGTAAACACGCTAGTAAAGCTAGTGACGTAATTAATTCTATGTTTATTATCCATTCCGTTGTCAGTTCTAATATCCTTGATAATTAAACCACCCTCATTGAATCAATGTACATCGTAATTCCCCATATTCATTTATTTAAACTATAAAATTGTCAGCGCCTCCAAACGTAACCACAACTAAACACATTCCAAACAACTTTTTAGATTTCATAAAAGGATGGTTAGTCTAATTGCAGTATCCTAGGTCAATTATGACGTTGTGTTCAATCTATGTCATTCATCTGTATAGCTTTGGATAACACCCGTATGAGGTTGTGGTGGTAATTTAAAATCGTAGGCCTATTCCTGAGGATTCTTGATCTCCTTCTTTATGACATCATTATTTCCGGGCCTAATCCAAACAAAGTTTAAGCATTCAAAAACATTGATTGTAAACAAAACGCCACCAAG